AGGAAACTGCTTCACAAGCAATCTTTTTTAGCCTTGCACTGCGAGGCATAACAACGGTCCAGCCTTCAGTTGGAGCTTGGTGGTTCTCAAGACTGCATGTTTTTGCACCTCCGGCCATAATTTCTTGGATTTTCAGTGGTGCAGTTCGTGCATCAAGAATGTCAACTTTCAAAGAACCTAACTTGAAAATGTGAAAAAAAAAAATCATCATTTAATGGCTGCAGATATACTTAAAATTGCATGCCAGATATTTTGAAGAGGGAAAGAAAACATGGGTATAATTTTTTTGTTAAATGATGAACACACTTTTATACTGCATTGTTTATCCTGAAGAGAGAATTTAACACTAATCTTTTTTGAAGTTGAAAACCCCCATATTCTTTCGTGATATTTTTGGCCACTTTTTATCACAAGCCATTTAACCTTGATTTTATGTCGGAGGCCATTCGCTCTAGTATCTATATCCCAACTTCTCAACTGCACCTCATATTTCCCTTCAGTTGATTGTATCTCTTTTATAGAATTGCCATATGCCAAATGATTATATAAAGCATTTCAATGACATAAGAAAAATAATAATCACCAAAAATGAAAAAGAGAAATTAAGACCTAAAAATCACATGTAAACACTTTTCAGGAAAACTAAAAAAGATGAAGGATAGCATAAATGTGAAAAAATTGAATCCCCAGCCAAACCAAGCACACATAGTATATCCCACTAAAAAGCAAGGTATCAGAAAAGATGAATGCAAACCTTGCCTCTTCTCAAAAGGAGTGGGGAGGCAAGCGTGCACAAATTGAATTTGATGACCCAAAAAATAAGGAAATGAATGAGAACTGTACAGCTAGATATACAAGACACAGAACAATTCTGAGGAATTATTTTTTGCTCAAAGAGAAATTGGCTTTTGGCTTCTATTTCTTTTTATAAAATTTTCAAATACATAAAAAATTGCTTTATTGTTCAGGCATCCACGGGAGGATATGAAGAGCTAGAGATATTTTCTTTGTTAGAAGAACAAAGGCCTGTAAACTGTCCAAATCAACACAGGAGGCTTAACAGCAAGCTCTGGAATCATGGGTCTTCATTGAACTGCGCAGAAGTCTTATAGTTTGCTATCGGGTGCGGAGGAGAGTAAGTGATGGACATGTAGAGTGCAAGTTATTGAAGGAGAAAGAATAGAAGTGTTGAACTAACTACTATTTTCCCTTGTTTGGTGAGTAAAAAAAGGAAGTGCTTCTAAAGGATGTGTTACCACTAAAATTGATTTTTTTTAAAAAAAAAACCTACAAGAAACATGAGGAGTTGAGAGATAGTGCAGAGATTATTTAGAAAGAAATCCCCAACAGTTTACGGCAAAGAATTTAAGAATAGGTTGGGCATAAATAATGAAATGACATGTAACACCCCAATTTGTGGTGTTAGATAAAGAAAAGTATGAAATCTTGGGGAGGTTATCCCCATAGCCCCTTAAACCAGCCAACACTTGCTAAATCTCCAGTTTTTTTATTACTCTCCTTGTCTTTTCACAAAAAATGATTAATAGCTACACTCCCTATTCAACACCACATGAAACCCATCCCTAAATTCTCATTTCTCTCATCTTTCTTCTATTATTGCTGAAACAAAGCACTAGTTCCTCCTATAAATGTGTTCCCATATTAAGTTTCTAGGACTGCCAAATGGCTTCTTTCTTGTTAATTTAAACCAAACCGTCATTTTTTTTTTGCAAATCTTACTTTCCTTAGCTACACGGTACTTCAGGATTATGTCTAGGGTTGTACAGAGTATAACAAACAATTAACCTTTTTGAATGAATTTCATTTAATTCGCATAAATTTTAATATCCCAAAGCGGTAAACAAACTGCAATGTCATAATGCCATCTTTCAAGGAGTCTTGCAGAAGCATATATCACAAGTCAGGTGCTCAGAGGAGATGTCTAGACCTCATTTTAATTCAATACAGTGGAAAACAGAGCACAATTTCAATTGAATGGATTCTGCGTAGTAAAGTAGTGAAAGGGAAAACAGCACTTTTAGTCTCTATTTTCTCTATTGAATTTGAGTCCTCGACTAATAATCGAACAAATGAGGTCCAACAATAAGGAAATTCAAGAAATCATGCCGCTTAAAAGGAAGTAACATGCTCCTTAAGAATCTAGTTACTTGCAGTAAGAAAACATACAAAACGAAATGATTTCCAGCACGCTAAAACAGCCATAGATATTCAACCTTAAAATCATAATCCAACACAATGAATATCTCAATCACAGCAATCATCTCTGCAAAACGGTATAGAACTAACCTAACAGAACTCTGAATCAGAACTTCGGAGTACTACCGCAGCATGTTAACCTATCCGTAAGTATTGAACATTGACTCCTTTTTAGCATAATCCATTGCATATGAACCAGAGATCATAGCTGGGTCAGATCAACACCAGACTGATCAATCGGAAGAAGCAAACGGATAAGAATCCGGTGACGGAAGGCTTTTTGGTTGGTTTTTATTCGGCAGAAGCGGATGAGGGGCGGGGGGACACCGACGACGGCTGCGAGAGGGAAGCTCTGCCGCGCCCTCAGCGGCCGCGGTGATGGTCGGAAGTGTTAGGAACGGGGTTTGTTCTGAAATCTTTTTGCCATTAGGGTTGCTATTTGCTAATGCAAGTGTTTTGGCTGAAATCTAGCATTGATGTATATTTTACCTGTAGATTTTCCTTTAAAATTATTGTCAAAGAATCATTACAAACATTCAACTCTTCCCTTATAATTTTCTTGGACAGCAGTACAATATTCTAAACGACCGTGACATTATTCATTTTTTAAATAATTTTATTTAAGATAAAATCGTGTGGTATGAGTTTCTTTATTTTATTACATTCTTCATATTTCTTTACTATGCGCGTTTTCTTGTGCTTCACAATTTTCCTATATGAATGACTAATTATGCAACAATTATAGTCATAGGAATCGTTTTACAACTTTTAAAACTTAGAATTCTATTTACCCACTTATGATTTTTATGAAAGACCATAATTATGCATATAACTAATAAAAACTTATGACTTCTAGAAAATGTTAGAAATGAAAAGTTACTTATTCCTTACTATTTTAGCATTACGATAACTCTTCTTTTCTTATTTCAATTAAATATTTGATATAATAAAATACTCTTATCACATTTTATTTTGTAAATTTTAAATATGTGAATATTTAAAATTTATTTTTTATTTATGCAAAAATTTTCAACTAAAAGAATTTCAAAACGAAAAAACATGGAGATTTGCCTCGCAACTCTCAACTCCCTCACTGAGTCACATATTTTATTTGAAAAATGCTAGGGGTACACTAAAGGTGTATCCGATATGTCCCCTACCCCCTTCTTGTCCACTAAAAAAGGCAAAAAAATTTAAAAAAGTAAATAAAAATCAAATAAAAATGTGTGATGGAGATGGGATGGTGTACATTTGGGGTACACCAAATGGTGTACCCATATTGCTCATTTTATTTTATTTTCAAAATGCAATGCAAAATGATCGGTAAAGAAGGAGATACGAAATTGAAAAGCAACCATAATAAGCATAATGAAGTCAAGTACTTTGTAAATAAATACGATATCACATATTTGGTATGCTAGAAACTATAATTAGGAAGAATAATTTCAAGAACATTGAGGGTCTGTTTGGTACAAGAAATTGATAGAATTGAAATTGAATTAAAATTAAAATTCCACAGGATTCAATTCCATAGAATTGAATTCACCAATTCCAATTCATTTTTTACACTATCAATTCCAAATCCACATAATTTTTGTGCTACCAAACACCAGAATTAGAACTGATACCCTCAATTCTAATTCCATAGTGTGAATTCTGTATACCAAACGAGGCATGAGGACATAATCTTAAGAGATTGGGGATATTTGTTTTCTTTTTTGAAGTGGGGATCTATTATTAGTAATAATGTTCATCACTTGCGCAAAATATAGGTAGTATGAGATCCATCTTATCATTCTCCAATCATCATAAAAAACTATTCCCTCCGTCCCGATTTTAAGTTCCCATTCTACGCTTTTCTCCGTCCGGATTTTAAGTTCCCATTCTACGTTTTAATACCTATTCTTCCTAAAATACCCTTCCCCCCTTCTTTCTTCTTTTTTCTTTCTCCCTTCATTTTCAATTCCTAATCCCTTATCTCTTTTTCTTTCTTTTTTCTCGGATCTGCACTCTTCCATTGTCCACTGGTTTATTTCTTTCTCCTCCCCCTCTTCAATCCCAATTATTTCTCCTCTTCTTTTTGTTTTCTTCTTCTCAAAATCTCCTCAGATCTACTTCTTTCTCTCTCTGGTCTCCTTAGATCTACTTCTTCTTACTCTCTCTCGTCACCTTCTTCTTTTTCTTTTTCTTCTTCTTCTTCTTCTTCTTCTTCTTCTTCTTCTTCTTCTTTCCCTAGTCAAAATCTTCAATTCACAGTCTCCCCAGATCTACAAGGAACGGCAGGCCTGCGGCGGCGGGGAGGCTGACAGTGGCGGTGGCCCTGCGACAGAGATGATCGGAGCAAGGGGCGGCGATTGATGTTGGTGAAGGTAGTAGGAGAAAGGTGCGGTGTTGGGTGAGTGAAATGGTCGGTGAAGGGCAGGGCCGCAGGGGTGTTTTAGACCATTTACACACAAAGTCAATGCCCAATAAAAATGACCAAAAGTCAAAATGGGTACTTCAAATCCGGACGGAGGGAGTATATGATAAAGTGAGGAGTAGAAAACCCTTTTCAGGTTTTGTGACATGTATGTAGACTTTGGAAACAAGGTTATAAAAAGGATAAATTAATTCAGAAGTAGAGGATTCTTAAGGGTCATCTCAAGAAGCTTAATAAGAACAAATTTTATAGCAAATTAACTCGAATGTGAAAAAAAAATTAAGAATGATCTCTCTAGTGGGAAACCCCAATTTGTGTTGGGATGAGGGGGCTAGGGGTAGGGGGAAAGGTTAGAGACGATAGTAACCATTTTTGCGCCCAACAGATCACCGTAGGTGCCTAAATGGACCAATGTGCATAGTGATTAAGACTGTAACGTTCTCAAAGGAATTTGGGACTAAAAGGCCGGTGTGCATAGTTTGCTACTGTAAACAAACACATGATACAGGGATTTGGGACTAAAAGGCCGGTGTGCATAGTTTGCAACTGTAACGTTCTCAAAGGAAACACCCTATAGAACTACCACAGCTATTGCTACTAGAGATGTTTGATTAAGACTGTTCCTATTGATGCCCTTGGCCGTGCGGATGGGGTCCCGGAGGTAATGGCGGTGGCATACCTGACTGCATCCCGAAGTTTGAGGGCATAGACTGCTGCAATAAGAACAAACAAAAACACATAATCCCCATATAATATGTCGAGATATAATTACAATTGTAAGACATAATCAACAAAACACAGAGTACATGATTCCCTATCACAACAAGGTATTCTGGTTCAAATTGTTCAGTGTCTGGTATGTTTTCATTATTGACAGAATTATTAAGTTTCCTATGTCTTTTAGGAGTTTGTTTTAAGCAGAATTTACTTGTTATATTCCCCATTAGTTTAGGATTTGTTATTCATAAAACTATATATACTTCGTATTGCTATTGGAAGATCAGTTTGAATAAATTATTTTCCTTCTTCAATACTCTTCTCTTGGAGATCAGTTTCTGTATGTTTCTTGGATTAGGAATTGTAGCACTATCATTTCAGATACTCGGCTATGTTTGGTGGATAGTTATGGCTTATTCTGGTTACCAGTAGAATTATCCATAATCATCAGCATAAGAATTCGTTGTTGACTTATTTGGCTGAAATGCAGTATCAAACATTTTGCCTTTCGAAATATTAAGCAAAATCAGCCATTTCAATAAAATTACCCTTAAAAACAGGCAAACTGGTGTTGTTAGGGAAAGAATGTTCTGGTTATGTGGATATTTACTATGAAAGCACTCGACACTCGACTCACAGTTACACANCCCCCCCCCCCCCCCACCCAAGAGGGTTGTGGTGTAGCCGTGTCAATCATGCCCATACTTCTGTGTAAGGCAAACCAGATTAGCAAAGGGAGTTTCTAACCTGAAAGGGATTCATCCCGGGCATGTGGGGCATCTGCCCGCCTTGTGGTCTGTTGAAGCCTCCACCAGGCTGAAACATTTGGTTGCCACCCGCGTTCGGAGGGCCTTGCATTCCCTGCATTCCATTTGGCATTCCACCAGGTGGTGCATTTATACCACCCATAAAGTGACCTTGAGGCATTGGAGGACCCATCTGATTCATATTACCTTGCATTCCCTTTATATAATATTCAAAGAAGCAGATTATTATAATAGCATTTGAAAAAGCTACTTATGCAGTAACATTTAGCCAGTGTTTAAAAGTTGGAATGTGGTAGACGATGGGAAAAACCAAGAAAAATGATTTTTTTCTGTTTGGGTTTACCTCGGAAAATATGAAGGATAACAGGATTTGCTTTAAATTTTCTTAAACGCTACATATATTTAAACATCTTAGTGTTCCTATAATACAAACGCATAAAAATAAATGAGCACAGACTAATATCTAAAATTGAACATTAACTTCAAAACCTTTTTTTCTAGTTCCCTTCAAATTCACTTCCAAATTTTCCATCTGTTTTCCTAATTTTCTTTCCTTATACAAAACATAGGCTAAAACGCAATAAATTTATTTTACATGTTGATACTAATTTAATTTATTTATGTTCAATATATATAGACAACGGAAACAACCCAATAGGACCCCGTAAGAGTAGAGTCTTGGGAAGGTGTATGTACGCAAACATTGCCCCTACTCAAAAGTAGGGAGGTTGTTTCCAAAAGACCCAGCTCAAGTAGATAATAAAAGAGCACAGAAGACACATAATAGCAGAGGAAGCACAAAGCAAACAAAACACACAAGTGCAGAGACCAACACCTAGCCCAACGCATGTTCAAAAATGAACATATAGGGACTAAGAAATATAAATATATGTTAAAAAAAATAACTAATCATGTATTATTTTCCTTTACATTTTCTAAGGTAACAGCACCAAGCATAAGAAAACAACTAATCAGTTTTTTTCCCTTTTCTCTAGTATTTTGGGATCCAAACGGACCGTTAGGAGAATGAGAAAAATAAGTACCATCGGACCAGGCATAGGCATTGGAAGAGAAGGCATGGGCATGGATCCAGGCTGTAACTGAGGGGGAGGTCGAGATAAATGAGGATGCTGCAACATAGGCATATGAGATGGAGGTTGTAGTGGGTGATGTGGCATAGAACTCATTTGATGAATATTTTGTTGATAACCACCTTGCTGTTGATTGTTTGCAGCAAGAAGAGAAGGATGGGGGCCAGGAGGGAGGGGAGGAGCACCCGAAGGCATTGATGGTGGCAAACTATTTTTCTGCTCTACTTGGGATGAGGACGATGAATCAAAAATTGGAAGCGAGAGTGGCATAGCAGCTCCAACACCCGGAATTGTGCCTTCATTTCGTATCAAACCAGAAGCAAGTGCTCCAGGAGTTGCTGATGGTGCTTCGGGTCCTCCAAAATTGCCAGGCCTAAAACCTAGAGCAGGATTTTGATCGTATGTACCTGTAAAAAAATGATTCAATACCTAAATTAGCCTATTAATGACAGGTATCTTTTACGGCATTTAAGAATTATGGAATGCAAAGTGCTAAATCTACTTAAATGAGAGGTTCACATGCGAACATAGAGAATCAGTCCACACCTTGCGGATTCAAGCTGAATTTATCACGAGCCGAATCCCCAGGCCTATTTCTGCACCAGAACTTTGTTGAATGATCATTGCTACCACTGCACCAGCATTAAAAAGTAATTATAAACTGTTACCATGCAGGTTATAAGTTATTCAAGCACATGATAAGATTTTAAAAAATGTAGGATAAACAATTCCAGGTTAAATCGTAAACAATGAATAAAAAGCAAAAATGTAGGTTTAATCTAGCAGGTACACAAGTCGAAAACTGCTAATGTCTCCCTCAGACTACGTGATGAAAAACAAGAAAAAATAAGAGAGGAACCAAGCAAAAGAAGCCACCATGATGACCGCCATGAAATTAAATTAGCAAACTAACAAGTATAGAAAGCTAGCTGAGATGAATAATTAAAAACCATCCTGCATGAGAAGCAATGAAATCCATCCAGGTAAACAAATAACATCAAGGTAAGATGTTTATCAGTCAAGGATGATGCGATGAACAAATTCTACCAATATACTCCGGGAGCACTCTTTGATACAAAAGCAAATGCTCTGTAGTATCATTTCACTGCATTATACCTTCTTTAATATATACAGTATACCCACCATTTTGTACCGTTCATTCAGTAGTCAGTACAGAAGCAGACTTGCTCAGATGAATAAATCAGCTAAGAACAGAAGTAAATGCAGAACACAAGTTCAAGAATGACACCGCTAAGGCTCTAAGAAATATGGAGTATCAAATTACAAAATGATTCAATGTGTGCATCTCATTTTAGCAAAAGAAGATGCTCTATTGGGTGCCAAACAATAACAAGAATATATGGCTGTAGAAAAAGAATTTGTACCTGCAAAGAATATACCCTATTGGGTGCCATGCAAGATCACAAACACCACTATCATGTGCATTTGTAATTTCAATCTGAGGAGTTTCATGCCTGTAAAGCCAAACACATAAATTGTAATAAAGACAATTAACCAAAAAATATCAACAATACTTCCAGGGAAGGTCACATTGCCCAAAAGTATTTTTTTGGTTTAAAAAAGAAAAAAAACAGAATGAAAAGAGAAAATGTTTTTTTTTCACACATGCAATCAAATTATGACTTGATCAATAGAATGACTTGTTTATTTCCATCTTTATTACAGAGTATTATTATTATTATTATTTCCATTCTTGACTGAAACTTTATAAGTTAAGGTATTATCCCTCTCCATGTTAGACTGATTGGCTTTGATTAATTATTAAAAAAGTGCACTCTCACCTCTCCAAAATGAGAGCAGACTTTTAGAGGGTCAAAGAAGTGTGACCTTCTAATACTTCCAAATATTGATGTTAAGAAAAAAATATAAATATCAGTAGACTTAGAAGACTGGTTTATCATATACCAGTTTAAACAATCCATGACTTAAAAAACTACAGTGCTTCAGTGTAAACCAGCATTCAATAAAAAAGATAGTACTGAGTTTTTTCCATGACATGAGCAGAAAAATAAATTTTCAATATGAAAGAGAAACCAAAAAAAGCATACCCCACGAGCCAATGGAATATTGAACCGTCATAACTCCCACTAACAAAATACTCTTCATGAAATGGATGCCAAGCCAAAGCTATCATGTTCAAACAATGAAACAACTTTCAATACCCAAAAAATGCATCACAGAAAGCAATAAAAAATTAGTTGATCCATGCAGCATAAACAATGGAATCAGGAGCAAAAGAATAATAAAGTGACTAACAATTATGAAAAATAATTACCAAAATCTCCATGATGTTAATAAAATAAAAATTAGCTTGTGATTAAATGATTCGGTATTATTTCAAAGTTGGTTTAGCCATTTCTGCTGAATGATACATAGTATTTGGTAAGAATATGGCATTTGGTACAGCTGAGCAGGTTACCAGAGTATGATGGTCTACATTGAAGGTTTCTTCCTAGAGGACATGAGGCTTATTGAGTCACATAGATGTCATATGATTAGTTTCTAATAACATTTTCCAACTTCTTGTTTAATAATAGAATAATGTAGAGCATGCTCAAATCCAACAAATTATATAAAAGGTAATAGTGCAACGACTCTAACTAGAATAAAATGGTGCTAGGCTGCTTGCTTTATTATTTGCAACGATAACTTGTACCTTCTGTTTAGTTTCTTATGCAGTTAGCCAGTTATAAGTTCTTCTTTTTACTATCCCGTTTTTTCTAAGTTACATGTATCTTCTGAATCATTTGCATTCCTAATGTGTACTCCCTCCATCCAAAAATAATCTTCTCATTTCCTTTTTAGGCACACATTCTTTACTTCTTTATACGAAAATACACTTCTACATATTTACTACCATTTACTTCACTTCACTAAACCCAAAAAGTAGGGTTATCCTTTACTCTTAATCTCCGTGTCATTTTCACACAGGAAGATGATTTTGGGACAAAGCGAGTATTAAATTTACTTTCTCAGTTTCTTGCAACTTATTAGTCCCTGTTAGTTGTCATCCTTCTCTCGCTCTTTCATATATGATTGCTTTATTTTGAATTACATTAATTATTTATTCACTTTTTCCAAAATCTCTGATAGAACCAAACATTCACTATTTTTTTGCTTTGGGGAATGATGGAATAAAAAATGGCTCTTTAAGTTGTATGTGCTTCTTTTGATAGTGAAGTAGCAGTTCGTCAATACAACTTTTGATGTTCATCATGGATCATCACGAAACAGTCGCTTTATGTTTTAAACATAGGGGTTAGGTTGTGTACATCCGACCCCCCTAACCCCGCAATGGGCGGGAGCCTTTGAGGCACTCGGGTAATGTTGTTGTAATTATCACTATTATACATGTCAGTACGTTTAAACTTCTAAAGCAACTCTTTTCTCTAAAGCAACTCTTTCCTCTTCGCATATTATTTTAATAATCCATAATCTATGATAATATTCAAATTATGTTGGTGTGTTTAATAGCAATTCAAACATAGTTTGACTATGAATCTATGATAGATTTTGTAATAACCATAACTACCATCTAACATATCCAGTGAAAAAGAGGGAAAGAAGAAGAAGTTGTAGCCGAATTGCAGATTTTTAGGAAGTTGAGAGTTATAGAATATTAATAGTTCATTTATTTAAACTAAATTAACACAAAACGGGGAGATAGTGGTTGGGCTTAACCATCCACTTGATTGCAGTTGTGGCATGATTTTAGGGATATTTTCCTACGTTACTTCAAGTCAACTCTATAATATAGTCAGTAGCATTAAGCTAGGGGAAAGGAATCAGAATTATACTTTTTTATTTGGAGATTCTTCTTGGCTAATTAGAATTTCTATAAGTGAGATACTTGATGGAAGTTGGTTTGTGTCTTATACGGAGGGGTGAATAAGATCACTAAGATGTTTTAAAATATTTAGGGGCTGTTTGGCAACTTCTGAATAGGTAAGTGCTGAAGCAGTAAGAGGTCTGAACCATTAAGTGTTGAACCAGTAAGAGGTCTAGGTCTGAACCATTAAGAGCTAGTATATTGCTTAACTATTCAGAGGCAAATGTCTGATCAATTCAGATAAGAGGTCTTAACCATTCAGACTATGTATAATACTTAACCATTCAGAGGCAAATCTCTTAACCATTCAGACATCTGAACCATTAAGAGGCTGAAACAGTCTGAACCATTAAGTGCTGAACCATTCAGACATCTGAACCATTAAGAGGCTGAAACAAACAGCCCCTTAGTCATTAATTGGTGGCTATCAGTGCTTTCTTAAAACGTGATTGCGTTAAAATAGATGTGAGATATCAAAAGCAATGAGTAAAGTATAAAGTACGTGAACCATGATCTTTTATAGGGTTTGGTAGATGGTAATCCCATAGTCACAGAATCCGCTCCCAGAGCCGCGACTTCCGTATTGGTACGATTCATACCCAATCGCAAGTCGCTTGCGATCCAATCGCAACTGGTACGGCGATCCAAATCGCAGTGGTACGGCGCTCCAAATTGCGATGGTACGGCGATCCAAATACCCAGGTACGTCGCACCCACTGCCGGTGGTACAGTGTACCAGAGGCGACTTCCCCGGCTTCCTCTTCCCAGCAAAACAACATCGACTTCCTCTTCCCAGTTTGCGTCTTTCCCTCTTCGACGATTTCTCTTTCCCAAGTCTTCGTAAATTGAGTATGTTCCACTTCCCAGGCACGTTCCACTTTCCCAATTAAATATTTCTCTTTCCCATTCTCATCATTTAATATTTAATTTAAAATCCAATTCACAATTAAATATTATACTTATTTTTATCTATTTTTGTTTATTTATGTTTTGACTTTTGGTACGCCGAACCGAATACATGGTACACCGTACAGCTTCGTACCGAAATGAACCTACCCCCCTTCATACCGAATTCGTTACCTCTAGTGAATCGCATACCCGTACCGAAACGTACCGCGATTTATGTGACTATGGGTAATCCCCTACTTCAGTACTAACCAAGTGGCTAAGTTACGACTTGAGGACAGTTCGTGTTTCCAGGAAGGGAGTATTGATTGGGTTTCTGGTAACCATAACTACCACTAACAAATCTAGAGGAAAAAAAGGAAAGAGGTAGTTGGAGGTGAACAGCAGACAATTAGGAAGTATGAAATTATGAAATATTAGTTGTATATTTATTTAAACTAAATTAACACAATAAGTGGGGAGTTAGTGGCTGTGCTTTTCCACCCACCTTATTGCAGTTGTAGCATGATTCTATGGATGTTTTCCTGTGTTAATTATCTATATTTCAGCTTTATCTATATTGTCAGCAGACAATTAGAGGTGAGGTATACTTTTATCATTTGGAGGTTTTTCTAGGCTATTAGAATTTATTTAAGTGAGATACTTGCTTAAGGTAGAGTGCTCTTTATTTTAATCTTTTCTAATTCAGTATCTATCAGACTATATGTAAGTTCCACTTTGAATGGAATTAAACTCCATATCTTGATATTAAAATAATTATTACATAATACTCTGTATAATATGAAGATAATTTGAAACATATCTCATTATGAAGATCAAACATATGAATTGAGGCAGACAGAATTCCGGATAATGAATTTTAAAAACCTAACAAATGTATTTTTTTATCAATCCTATTCTTGCTGGATATATTTTGAAAAGCTAACAATTCATATGTTAGCTTAACTAAGAAAACTTATTTCTGAATCTTGATGGATGATATTTCCTACCTATTTAGATATGTCTAAGTGCCTAACCCAAATCTCCTGTTTTTTTAAGAAAAGAAAAAATCACCTATGAGTTAAATTTTCACAACTTAATATAATGCTCATTCAGAATTTTACATATGGCATGCAGCCTAATTACATTAATTTTAACGGTGGGACTCCCATGACATTGGAACCCCATGTCATGGGATGACCCGGGGGCGCTCCGGTGTCCCGTTCGTAAAATTGACGGCTCCTACCCCCCTAACCCCCCGGTAAACCCCCCTACCCGCCCCGACCCGAACACACCCCCGCACCCCCTTCAATTTTACCCCACAAGTTAATTTTGACTTTGGAGACTCCAAAGTCAAAATTAACTTGTGGGGTACAATTGAAGGGGGTGCGGGGGTGTGTTCGGGTCGGGGCGGGTAGGGGGGTTTACCGGGGGGTTAGGGGGGTAGGAGCCGTCAATTTTACGAACGCGACACCGGAGCGCCCCTGGGTCATCCCATGACACTGCCAGGCAATGTCATGGGAACCATCCCGTAATTTTAAACACTTGTACGCTCTTAAACAAACATTTGCAACTTCACGTTACATTCAAAATAAGAAACAAACAGGATAACTACAAACAACTACCAATGATTGGGTGCCTCTTTGGCAGCGTAATAGCAGCATGTCTCATAGAAACAAAGCATTTAATAGTTTCTTACTTGTAACATCCTTTTGATGCCCACGGAATGACTCAAGCTCCTTCATGGCCCTGATGTCATAAAGCTAGAAGCAAGAGAGGGGAGTTACTTACTAGTTATGTGCATCTCAACCCCCAAGAGTCCAGAGAAGTTGGGATTATCCATGCTTTTGATATTGTTTTTGTTTTACAAATTTACGTTGTCCACAAATGTGATTGGAATTCTTGATTTTATGTTGAATAGTTGACTAATTCTAAACCATATATGAGTGGCAGCTATTCATGATATAATTTTAAAAAATATGAAGGATGAATTTATGACCCAAACTTATAGTTCTTACTTGATAAATAACTATAAAAGTTAACACAGATGGAAAATAGCATTACCTTAATAATTTGATCCTTAGAAGCAGTAAGCACCCAGTTACCATTTTGATTCCACTTGACGCAAAGAACAGTATTCTTGTGGCCATGACTGCAAAATGATAAGGAGCCCAATATTACATTAAAAGCAGTCTTCTAGACATCAGGAAACTAACAGAAAGTACAGTTAAAATCAAAATAAATTTAGCATCATTTACTGACAATGAACATAGCTCCCTCCCTGACTTGGCATCCCAAAGCTTAACAAGATTGTCTTTTCCACCTGACAGCAGAAAAATATAATCCACAATAAGAAGATTTTCCCTCCCTTTTTAAAAACAGACAAGAAAATTTGTGTGCGCTAGTGCGCTACAGGAGCATTAATCACCACAGAATACGGTTTCAGAGGGGCCACAAAAGTTTTACAAGGTAGATAGTGTAGTGTTGAGCCTCTGAAGTAAAGAAATGATTTACCACAGGAGAACGCAATAATTTATCTAGAAAATGTTTTTTGAAAAAAAAAACAGGGAAACAAGCATACCTGAAACAAGTAAAGACTTTGTAGGATGCCAGGCAACACTCTTCACATCCCAACCATGGCCTGCCTGAGTCGAATGGCACAAATAAATATTCTCGTAGACAATCATATGACATTACGTCTAAATATGCAGAAACAAACTAAGATTATTGTCATTTAAAAGCCGGATGAGAAAATTTTCAGTGGCATGTTGCATATGATATAGTCTAAATAGACATCCAACAGTCCAACTGGTGTCAGATTTCCGTAAAATTTAAAAAAGAAATGAGGAACATTACCTGTTAATGAGCGCTCTTCTTGGAACCGTGCAAAGTCCCAGACCTTCACAGTAGTGTCATCAGAGCAAGAACAGAATTTCATATCTGTCCGGCAGAAGCTATTCCAGCATGAGAGGAAAGAGTAATTAGAGATAATTCAAAGATGGTTTAGCTGTTGAAATAGAAATACTGCAATGAATATAAGAAATTCAGACATTATATGACAGCTAATTACTTCAATACAAAATTATCAAAATTTAAAAACATCAAGACAAACACAACCGATGCTTGATTGGTCTATACCTTAAGTCACGCACTGATTCTTTATGTGCTGTTTTAATGGCTTTTACATTACTCAAGTTAGTCTGCCAATACCTGAAATAGTAAACTTGTGCATTCTTTAATGTTTATCTAATTCAATGGGAAAATGTAACAATAGCATCTGGTCATAACATGGTTTTACTTTATAGCACCCGCATCATCACCCGTGACCATATAATTGTCATTGTAACTCCATACCATTGACCTGATTGCTTGATCATGAGCCTGCGCATTAAAAGTTGATATTCCCCCAAATTACATCTATCTGATGTTTCATCAAGAGTCAAGACTACAACTCTACGAGTACAGAAACTCAATTTCCATACCTGAAGAATCATTTCAAAGTTAAAAGACTGCCCATTCCAGAGAGTAAATTCACCACTTTGAGATCCAGTAATAAGACGTCTCCCAGTAGGTGTCCACTAAACAAGTTAAAATGGTAAGGATGCAAAAATGGAATATTTAATCATAATAAAAAATTAAATTTTTAAATTTAGCTACGAGAATTTGTTTAAGAAAAATAAGACATATAGAAAGTGGAACATAAGCAATGATTAACACCGATGAGAGCAATCACAATGTTAACCACCAAAAATCCATTATAATTAGATCTCTGCTCTATTGTTTTCATTTTCATGTCATGTACTGAGGTGTTAAATGGATCACAAGATTGAACATCATCCACCCAATATGAACCTCCTCGATTTGGTTCATTTTAAAAACGTTCGGAATATAAAGGGCCATACGCTGCACCTAGGCGATGCCCAAAGCTTGTATAAAAGGGCTAGGATGATAGAATAATTTAACAAAATCTTTCAAATAAAAGTAGGATGTAAATGATTTTGAAGCAAACAAGCTTATATTTTTATTAAATGCAATGAATGGATTTGCAAGTACACACTATAAAATTAGCAAAGGGCCAAAGAAAACAATAGTGTAGCAAGCAGGAATAAATAAACTAGATGTGGCAGTTTTAAATATTTGTTTTGGCACATTAAAAGAAAATAATCTAATAATTTGTAGCAAGCCTAATTGATAGGGATGGTAGTGGTACTAGAATCTTTCTGTGTGCTATCCAATGTAGTTATGCTTTATATGCGCTTGACATAAAAAGTGCTTAAAATAATACACACTATAAAATTAGCAAAGGGCCCAAAGACAAAAATAGTGTAGCAAGCAGGAAAAAATAAACTAGATGTGGCAGTTTTAAATATTCGTTTTGGCACATCAAAAGAAAATAACCTAATAATTTGTCGCAAGCCTAATTAATAGGGATGGTAGTGGTACTAGAATCTTTCTGTGTGCTATCCAACATAGTTGTGCTTTATATGCGCTTGACATAAAAAGTGCTAAAAATAATTATACCAACATCCACCAAGAACTGGAAAACAAATTAAGTAAGCAATTACTTGGAATGACCCTAAGATTTCAAGGCATAATAATACTAATGCAATGTACCATATACTGACATAGTGATGTGTGTGCGCACACACACACACACAGTTATATATATATATATATATATATATATGCACAAGCCTTTTCAAACACAAAATAAATCACTGACAAAAATGGAAGGAATAAGAAAAATACAAGACGTCAAAATTAACTTACCACAACACGATTAATTGAACAACGGTTTTTGTTTAGGGATGTATGAACAAACTTTGCAGCAAAACTGGTGGATGGGTTATCAGAATAGGCAACTGATGGTAGCATCTGCATTTGTGACCAACAAAAGAAAAACATTGTTGGCAAATAGCTAAACACAGCACAAAGTCTGCTTTGAGTGGAAGAGAGCAATGCAGAATCCATTTGAAACTACACTTCAATGAAAAAAATGGGGAAAAGGAAGAAGAACTATTCTATTCTTAACGCACATCAACTGCAGCTGCAGGGGTAGGTTGCAACACAGTTCTGTCCCTTGAATCCCGCTGCCACATGCGAATCTACACACCAACATCAATGTCAAATACATAGTAATAAGATCACATAAAACATATGGCATGCCGCACTTGTAATAAAAAGAGTCATTTATTATAAATTGCAAAAACACATCTAATTGAAGGAACATATTGCTAAACACATTCCAGCAATCTGAGATTAACATAGATATTGCTCCATTTAAGGTGTATATCTTACTTCTTTTCGCTGTTCGTAATGAAAAGTATTTGGTTACTTTCATGAATACCAATCCTTTCTCCAATTATTGTGATTCAAAGTTCAAACACAGAAATTTAAATGGCATTTCAACATAATAACAGCTTCATTGGAATAATTAGTTACAAGTTGATAACAGAAAAACCGGCATAATCCCCACTCTGTTAGGCTCTGGGAGGTCAAGATTTACGCAATCGTACCCCCGTAAAAAAGAGGTTGTTTAAATGAGACCCTTGATGCATCACTGCATTTACTGCCAAAAGTTTCATAGGAATCAAGAAGCACGAGAAGTTTCATATTCAATTTTGATTTACTCCATTAATTATCCGAAGTGAAAGCATTGTCATAATGACTCTATTAACTGCATTGGCAATGAACACAATATAATAATGAGTTCAAATGTGATTTTTTATAACCTAATACTGCTATAATGAGTCTTACATGTGTGTGTGTGTGCATACATCTATATTTTCACTTAGATAAAATTCAATAACCTTTACCTGCATATATCGTACCACAGTACTAGTATAGTCAACAGCTCTTCTTTGTCCCATTTTCCTCATTCTCTTTGCAGCATAACTGTCAGCATGAGCTACATGCAAACAGAAGGCAATGATAGTCACCTTAAGTACTCCCCATTAATTTGTTCAAACCCTATCAACTTAGTAACAGTTAGATGAAGCTCAAGCAAATCGACAAACACTAGGATTGCCACATTTTGAGGAAAAAATTAATTTTGTCTGTGAATTTTGATATTTCATATCAGCTAAAGGAGACCAAAGAATATGGCATTGCCAGAAGTATATGAAAAGTGGATCTAATCACCAAGATGGGCAATTCTAGTGTCATGGTTCCCCTTTAGGTTAAATGAGTTGAGATAACCTCACAAGAAACAATTGCTTTTTTTTTGTAAATTAATCAGTTAACGCCATTATAGACGTGAACTCCAGTGGCAACAAAGACTTGTTGCAATACGTTATACTGTACCATCGTAAGCCTGATGAGGATGAGGAGGTCCAGGGGGCATAGAATGGTGGTGAAAGTCAGTCGACGGAGGAGCATTTGCATTGAGAGCGGCCGAGGATGGCGGGGGTTGACGCATCATTTGATGAGGACCAGGAGGAGGTTGTGGGCCCCTGGGGAAGTCTCCGAACGGAAATGGCTGCTGGTGGTGTTGATGCTGCTGATTAGGTGGCAGCGGCGGCGGCTGATGATGCTGCGGTTGTTGATGGTAGTGGTGTTGCTGTTGCTGTTGCTGTTGCTGGTGGTGGTGATGGTGCTGCTGCAATGGATCGCTGGCCGGCATCATCTTCTTCGACGGCGAGAACAAATCCCGCTACCCCGAGCTCTATAACAGAAACTTGATATCTGGATTTGAGATAGTTGGGAAAAAGTTGGTTAACAATAGCGGGAAGTTTAATTCGGGAATTTAGGGGTTAGGGTTTGAGAAGTTCGTGATTTCAAATCAACGAAGCACTGGCTTTGGGTAAGACCGTAAGAACACTGCTACCATATGACATTTCTAACTATTTTGAACCATATTTTGACAAATTATATCCTCCTAAAATATTGTTTTTAATTGACTATTTTACATCAAAATTGGAAATAAAATGAATAATATTGTAATTTAATATCATTTGGTTCGTCTTGAAATTTTGAAAAGGCCATTTTCTATTTAAAAAAATTTATATATATACTCCCTTCATCTCAGACCATGTGTTTTGGAGCGTAAAGAGGGACTCGCCACCTTCCTTCACACCCCTCTTTCATAATAATAGCAATGCGATGGGGCGTTGCCCTTTTGTGAGGGACTCGCCACCTTCCTTCGCACCTTTATTCTCATGTTCACTCGCTTACGAGACACTTGTGTAACATGTCATCAAGTCTTGCCATAATATCATAGCATTAGAAAGTTTATAATTTTTGTTTTTGTTTTTCTCATTAAAAAGTTTACACTTTTGTTCTCTCTCTCTCTCTCTCTCATTTCAATCCAAATAAAATTTGGAAACTCAAGTTGTAAGAATCACGAATAACCTTTTTTTATAAAGAAGAATTGCTAATTACATCCTGTTCTAAAGAAATATTTTCTTATGTTAGCCCGCTTAGCTCAGCGGTTAGAGCATCGCATTTGTAATGCGATGGTCATCGGTTCGATTCCGATAGCCGGCTTTTCCACATTTTACGTCTATTGTTTATAGTAATCCGAAGCTTTTGAAATAATAAAATAATAATATAAATTGAGGAATATCGGAAGTTCGAACTAGAATTAGTCAAAACATTCTTTTTTACAATTTGCTTAGAATTGAAAAGAAAAAACTATTATCGCATTTATATAAATTATAGAATTACATATTTTAAATAAATTTAGATATATAATCTAATCGCATATAAAAATTAAGGAGTGTTTATGTCGCGTTATCGAGAAAAATAAATTATCAAAGTAAATAAATTATCAAAGCATTTAATGAATTATGAGTTCAATACAGCCTGTTTTGTAGAAAGACGTCTATTCCTTGCTCATTCTCAGACAATCACTTATTTACAAAGGGCTCATTTCCCATCTCACGGAAAACCCTTTTCGCTACGCTTAGACCTATCTCCCTCTAGGGGTAGTTTAGTTATAGGTTCTATAGGAACTGGACGATCTTATTTGGTCAAAACCCTAGCGACAAATTCCTATTTTCCTTTCATTACGATATTTGTGAACAAGTTACTGGACAAGAATCCTCCTAAATTGATTTCTGATATCGACAAGGTGGAGAAGAGTGACAATATTGATCCTAGTTATGATATCGATAGGGTGGAGAATAGTGACAATATCGGTCGTGACCTTGCTACGGAGCTGGATCTGCTCACTTGGAATGCGCTAACTACGGATAGTGAGATGAAGGCTCAAATTGACCGATTGTCTATAACTCTTCAATTTGAATTAGCAAGAGCAATGTCTCCGTGCATAATCTGGATCCCAAATGTTCATGATCTCGATGTGAATGAGTCCAATTCCTTATCCCTCGGTCTACTAGTGAACCAGCTATCCAGGGATTGTGAAAGATGTTCTCCTTCGTTAATATGAATATGAAAATTCTAATTAGGTAAAAATAGCATGGCACTTTGAATTCGATATGAAAAGTTTGTCTTTCTTTTCAAACTATTTGATTATGTATCGAGAAAGTAGTATAAGAACTAAAAGGTCTTTTCCAAGGTCCAGTTCAGTGTCACAAACCTTTTGTTTGTTTAAATCGTACTGAAGATATTTACTACGTGCGATTCAAAAAAAAAAAATTCAGTTTGATTAAATGACTAAAGAAACTTTGGGATTGCTATAGACAAAAAGTGAAAACAAAATGAAAATTAAGATATAATAAAGCAACAGAGCCATCATAATAATTTTAAACGTTTCTGAAAGGAAGGATGGTACTTTGATAATTTATTTAATCCTGATTCGATTTTTCTCTGGTAATAATTTAATAATTTATTTAATCCTGATTCGATTTTTCTCTGGTAATAATTTAATTTTTCTCTCTCTCTCTCTCTCTCTCTCTCTCTCTCTCTCTCTCTCTCTCTCTCTCTCTCTCTCTCTCTCTCTCTCTGCTTTTTGCTTGTTATTTAGGTTGCATTTAGCTCCCTCTACATTGCTGCCATGTGGCCAGTCGATACGCTGACGGTCGCAACGGTAGATAGAGAGCAATCCTTCACCCCTCAAATTCATACTTCTCCACACCACCCCACCTTCCCCTAGCCTCTATTAAACCCTCACCCCCTCCATTGTCATCTCAGTCTTAGCCACTGTTGATCGGCCCCTCGCCCTCAACTCCCAACCCTAAATCTCTGGCTTACATTCAGTTGTCACCCCATCCACCATCGATCGCCCCTTCTCAGTCAGCTAGCCACCCCCAACCATAGCCCAAGCCATCGAACCCACACGACCCTCGACCCTACCAATCTTGACAACTAATTTTGCGAGCAACCATCACTTGCCCACTCAGCCAAGACCATAAATTAGGCTTATCACCCCACCCCAGCAAACCGTCAAGACCATAAATTAGGCTTATCACCCTATATTGTAAATAATGTCTATATAATTTGTTACTCGAGTGTTTGCCTTAGACACTGCGATAGATCAGCGAATGAGAGTTAATACTCCGCAAGTCTTTATTAATCACATTTTTGTTCGCGTGGAAGACTCTNGGGGGGGGGAAGGGGGGTTTGTGCATGCTAGAGTTTTTTAGTGGGCTTATTACTAACAACAAATACGAGATACTATGTTACCCCCTTCTGTTTGGGAAAACACTTCTTATTTTGACTAAAAATCAAAATAAGAAATGGTTAAATTGTAATTGACTTTTCAATTTTGTATTTGATGTAAAGCGTAAAAGTAAAATGTGATAGATAGATTATTAATAAAAAATATATAATGTGATAGGTAGGGTAAAATAGGAATAAAAGTGAATTTTTAAGTTGAAAGTGAAAAAAAAATGAAAGAGACTATTTTGGTGAACAAAAGGAGTATAACACATTTTATCAAAAATTGATGAGTACATTTTTTCAAATACATTTAATGCAGGGTTAAATATATTTTTAATTTTTGTAAAATATGTTATATGTTTGTTTTTGGTTCTTCTAAGTTACTACGTATTTCTTTATTAAGTCATTCCTATAAAATATATATTTTTTACAAATAGCCTGCATACCAATTTTGAGTTTACTATCAGAATTTATAGGGAGAGAAAATAAAATTACTTTAAACTTAAATAATTTTAGAAAGATCATAGAATCCTAATATTTGCAAGGATAAAAAAATATATTTTTCTTAGAAAGATCAATTTGCAAGGATAAAAAATATATTTTTCTTTTAATCTTAGCAAAAAGTGTATTTAACAAAATTCAATTAAAAAGTCAACAATAAGGGCACATTATGTATTTTTCAAGATGTCCTTTAATTATACATTAATTATATTATATTTATTCTTTAAGATTTAGATTAATCATTTTCTAGTTTTCAGAATGGGAGAGTAAAAAAAGATTCAAAAATTCATCAATTATAGCCTCCAATCCAGAAGGCATTTAAATTTCAAACTGATTTTTTTTCCATGGCAATCACAGAGAATCGGACCAGAAGACATTTGATACAAAATTGTTCTGAAATTCAATATAAACACATCTAAAATCCACAGAGCAGACGGACGATTTCGGATGAATCAAACGGCCCCGCAAATTGCAGAGGTCATCCTCGTCGCCGGCCTTCCTTTGCAGGCGGCGTTCAGGAGATGCGGTTGGACATCGGAGAGGCGGACGGGTTTGAGGCAGAACTCCTCGGCGCCCTCCGACAGGCAGCTGCGGATCCTCGACGGGACATCCTCCGACGACACCACCACCACGGGGATGTGCTTGAAGGCGGAGCAGCCCTTGATCTCACGGAGCAGCTCGTAGCCGGTCATTCCGGGCATGCTGTAGTCGGTGATGATCAGATTCACCTCCGCTCCCTCCACCACCCGCAGAGCTTCCGCCCCGGAATCCACCACCGTCACGGTCACATCGTCGCCGGAGCAAGCCGCCTTCACCAGCCTCTCGATCAGCTTCCGGTCGACGACGCTGTCGTCGACGGCAAGAACGTGGAACCTCTGCTGATCGGCGGGTGCCATTTTTTCCCCTAAAATGAGATCGATTATTCGATTAAACCCCTTTTCTTCAGTAGATCGGTATGGAATGGAGTTGAATTGCGGGGAGAATATATACATGCGGTGGATGGGTGTATGAATCAGAAAGATGCGAAAAGGGTTCCGGTGGAGATTTGGGGAAGATTAGATATGTCGGCAAAGAGACGGGGAGAGTATATTTTGATCTGGGGAAGATCTTTGATTTGGACACGCACCAATTTTGTCCCCCCCTTTTTTTTTGAAAATTTTATTCTCATAGAATATTTTGTCTCCTTTTAAACACAAATTTCTTGTTTTTTCAAGATCTGTCTAAAAAAAATTTACAAAATCTCCCATATCCTTATAACATGAAAAAAAGTATTTCCCTCCTTCCAAAATATGTGTCATATACATATTATGTAAAATAAGTTTTTCATTTAAAAAAAAGTTTTATTTAATTTACTCCGTATTTTATTTTAAGAAAAGTAAAGAAACAAAAACGGCAACTTCTCTCTTTTTTTTGAAGTCCAACTTCTCTCTTTTTATTTTAAGTGCATGAAATATCTCTTGAACTCTTTGGAAATTGCATGTTTTAATCCAGAATATTTAAATAAAAATGATAATTTTGGGGATGGGTACTTTGGAGAATTCACAATGGCCAGATAAATCATACCTGCAATTCTTATGTGTGGGAGCAATGCAGTTTTTATCTATCATTTTAGGACCAACTGTGCAACGTTTAAATTGTTCAAGGATATTTGGTATATTTTTTAATGTTCAGGAGTAAATCGTACAATTTTCAAAGAGTTCAAGGATAAACGGTGCAGTTTTTAATTTTAAAGGTAAA